GATTAAATGAGACATTTGTAAAGTGCTAATTAGCATAGTGCCTAACATACAGCAGGCACTTATTAAATATGTTATTCTTTTTCTCCATTAATAATAAAAAAACAACAAAAATCATGTTTTATTAATAGATACAGAAAAGACCTTTAGCAAAACACAATATCTCTTTTTGTTAAAAACTCTGAAAAGGACTAGAATAAATAGATCTTTCCTTTATATTGTAAACAGTATCTAAGACTAAGAGAATTTTTTACAATGGATAACTGCTAGAAGCCTTTCCAATAAGATCGGGGAAAAGCAAAGATGTCCATTGTCACCACTCTAATCTGATATACTTCAAGAAAAATTATCGATAGTAATAAAACTGGAAAAAGAAATTGAACCAATAAACATAGGCAAAGAGGAAACAAAATTACTGTTTTTGGAAGATGTTTTCTTTTATTTAGAGAATCCCAGAAATTCAACTAATAAAATTAATTGAAATAATAACATGAGGAAAGTAACAAGATATAAAATAAACCCACAAAACATCATTAGCCTTTCTGTAAATTACCAACAAAACCAAGTAGGAAGAAATAGATATTCCATTCAGAACACAGACTACATAAAATATTTAGGAATAATCTCACAAGATACACATAGGAATTTATATGTAGATAACTACAAACCACTCTTTACAGAAATAAATAATGGGAAAGATTAATTGTTCATAGTGGACAATTTAATAAAAATGACTACCCTAATTCAACACCATACCAACCCAACTATCAATGTCACTTCGTAGAACCAGAAAAAATTATTACAAAGTTCCTCTGAAGAAAGAAAAAGTCAAGAATCCCAAGGGAAATAATAAAAAAAGTATAGGATGGAAAGGGGCTAGTAGTATTAGATATCAAGCTGTATAACAAAGCAGTAAACCTGGTGCCAGTCAAATTCATGTTACCTAATCTCAAAGGGAATCTCAGTACAGCAAAGCAATTCTTTCTTACTCACCAAGTGACTCTTTAATACTGTCTCCCCAAAATCAGTGTTCTAAACCTTTTCCTTCAAATCCCTTATGTTACAATTGCCAACTCATCCTCTCTCAGACAAGGCAACTGACTCCTATTTTACTGAGAAAATTGAGGTCATTCTTTGTCTAGGCATCAAAACCCTTCTCTCTAAGGAACAGATGACCCATCTTGAAAAAGGGATTGCCCTTTGTGCACAGGCACAAATGCAATAGAGGCAGAGATGTGAACTCGTCCAAACATTCTGGTAAACAACTTGGGAACTTTTATATGAAAGTGACTAAAATGTCCATGCTTCTAGGGATTTGATTGCTGGGAGGTCAATGATAACTAGAATGGCCCCATTAAAAAAAAAATTAACAGCTCCTCTTTCTGCAGTAGCAAAGAACTGGGGTGGAGGGGGAGGCAGGGAGTAGATACCCATCAAATGCAGAATGACTGAACAAATCATGGTACATGAATGAAATGGAATGGTAACAAAGCAAAGTAAAACAAAACAAAACACTGAATAGGAAAAATACAAAGAAGCATGGGAAGCCTGAAATGAACTAATGCAAAATATAGTAAAACTATGACTATAAGAATGCAAGTGAGAAGAATAAAAGAAACCAAGTATCATTATGTAATTTATAATGACCAAGCTTGTCTCAAAGAGAGGAGAAAATATATCTTTCTCCTTTGTAAAGATGAAGAACTATGGGAATGAAACACGGCATATGCTGTCAGCCTTGAATGACAAGTTGGTTACTTTTGCGAACTTGCTCCCCTCCCCCTTTTATCCTTTGTTACAAAGAAGGGCGCTCTTATAGTATGTATTAGAAGAGTGGATGGAGAAGAGAGGGAAGCATATTTGAAAATAAAGGCTCTGTAAAAAAACAAAAAGTATTAAAATTTTAAAGGCCAACCCTTCTACTTGCACCTTTGATCCTATTCCCGTTCTTTTCCATAGGGTTTGAACTTTGGGATTCATTTCCCCTTTCCCTCTGTCTCTTTCCCTTGTGCTTATAAACAGGCCCAGGTCTCCCTCATCCTTAAAAGACTGCATACACTAACAAACTGTTGATTAAGCTATGAATTGGTCCAGTCCAGAAGTGGGGAACCTGTGGCCTCGAGGCAGCAAGAGGTTCCCCACTCCTGGTCCAGTCATTTTGGAAAGCAATCTGAGACTATGCCCATTACTATGACTAGGCCTATACTCCTAAACCCCCCCCAAAAACAAACAAAACAAAACAAGAGGGAAAAGATCCACATGTACAAAAATATTTATAGTAACTCTTTTCATTGTAGCCAAAAATAAGAAACTAGGGACATGTTCTATTTGGGAATGACTAGCCAAAATTGTGGTATACAAATATACTGGAATATTCTTGTGCCACAATGATGAAATGGACAATTTCAGAGGAATCTAGAAAGACCCTTATGGACTGATGTTGAGCAAAGTGAACAAAAAAAATACTAGGAAAACAATTTACATAATGTGTATAGAGGAAAATTTTAGAAAGATTTTAGAACTTTAATAAAAGCAATGATAAAACCAGGAGTCCAAAAGAACAAAACATGCCACTCCCCTCCTGCCAGAGATAAGATATACTTAAAATTCAGAAAGGATGTAACTTTTAAGGCAAAAGATAATTGCTTTTTCGGGTTTTTTGAAAATTTGCTTGATGGGGAGGGGAACAGTGGGAGGGACAGATTTATTTAAAAAATACTTGAAAAAAAAATAAGAGTAGATTACATTTGTTTCCTCTACTTCCTTACCTTCTAATCACTTCTTAAACCCTTGGTTTTGGCTTCCAATTCTGCCACTCAACTGAAAGTACTCTCTCAAAGCTTATCAACAATTTCTTAATTGTTAAATCTGATTGCCTTTTCCCAGGCTTTAATCTAGTTGGCAGCTAGGTGGCACAGACAGAGCATCAGGCTTGCAGTCAGGAAGACCTGAAATCAAATACGATCTCAGACACTAGCTGTGTGAATGACCATGGGCAAATCACTTAACCCTGATTGCCTCAGTTTTCTCATCTGTAAAATGAACTGGAGAAGGAAATCACAAATCACTTCAGTATCTCTCCTAAGAAAATCCCAAATAGGGTCACAAAGATCCAGACATGACTAAAATGACTGAACAACATCCTACTTGACTGTTCATAGACCACCACCCTTTCCTCCTGCATATTTTCTCCTCTCCTGGCTTCCAAGACACCACTATTTACCTCTATGCCCATTACCTCTCAGTATCCTTTGCTAGATCACCATTCACCTCTCATCCCTTAAGCATAAATACACGCCCCCACCCTCTCTTCCCCCTTTCTCTTATCTACTACACTTTTTCTCTTGGTGACCTCATACTCCTAGGTATTAAATTGCCATCACTATGCAATTCCAAATCTTTATATTAGCTCTAACTATCCTAACCTTCAATTCTGCACTGCCAGCTGGCCAACACTGATCAATATCCTGCTGGCATCACAAACTCACTATTTTTCTCCATCACATCCCCAACAACTTCTCTATTTCCACTAAAGGCACCACCATTCTTCTAGTCACCCAGGTTAGTAGCCTTGCCTTTATGTTCTCCCTCTTACCTCTCCCTCAACACCCCCACCCCCACCCCACAGGTGCCAGGTCTTCTCAATTCATAACATCTCTCACTTCTATTTCCCTCTTTCCACTTAAAATGGAAAAGAAGTCTCCTAGTTTAGGCCTTCATCTTCTCATCCTGGACTACTACAGTAACAATGCCTAAAGTGGCCTCCTTGCTTACACTTCCAAACTCCAATCTATTATCCTCCATAGAGCTGTCCAAATCTTCCTAAGGATACATACATAATCAAGTCGCTTCCCTGATCAAAAGTATTCAGTGACTTCCAGTTGCCTCTAAGATAAAATACAAATTCTAAAGAGATTGGACCAGCACCTGTGATTCCACTGACACAGGATAGTACCAAATGATGCTCTTTTAACCTTAGAGATCTGCCTGGAGCACAGAGAGGTTAAGCAACTTGCTTTAGGGTCACACAGACAGTTCACATCAGAGACAGGACTTGAACCCAAAATTTCCTGGCTCTCCTTGGCCAGGAAATCTATTCCCTACACCAAGGCTTCTTAACCTTTTTTTTTTTTTTTAAACCTCTTCAGCAGCAGTCTAGTGAAGCCTAACCCCTTCTGAAAATGTTTTTATATGCATAAAAAAATACACAAGATTACAAGGAAACAAATTATAATAAAACAGTCATAAAAATATTTTATTTAAAAAAACAAATTTTTTTGTTAAAAAGAAAAAAACAACAGGATCCAGTTTAAGAACATCAATGGACAACTTTACCACCTCCTCCCCGTTGTCAGTCAATTCAACAAATATTTACTAATCTCTTACAATGTGCCAGGCACTGTGCTAAACTTTGGTCATACAAAGGAAGGCAAGAACAATCCCTGCCCTAGAGCTTACAGTCTCCAGGGAGGGAGACAACATGCAAACAGCTATGAAAATCAGATACATATATGTGTATGTGCATATATGTACGTATATATACAGTTGGAGATTATTAACCATAGTCCAGGATGAGGTGATGAGGACCTAAACTAGACTTCTTTTCCACTTCAAGTGAAAAGAAGTAAATAGAAGTGAGAGATGTGATAGAGAGCTGGCAACTGATTTAACACACACACACACACACACGCGCGCGCGCGCGCGCGCGCGTTGTGTTGCTCATCTGTCCCAATTGATTAACCTCGTATGTGCCGAAGCCAGGGGTGGTTTTTGTCCCAGCTGTGTCGGCGCCAGGCCCTGAGTACGTTCCCTGATCTTATTAAGTGGGTATACTCGTGGACGCTTCCCTCAGCAAATCCGCCTGGCCAGAGAAATCCGAGAAGGGGGCGGGCGGCCCTGCGGCAGCGCTGCTAAGCCGCGAAGGAGACCGTGGGCCCTCGGGGGCGCTGGCACCTGCGGCTGCCCGGAAGGACTGGGCAACGGGGCGGCCGCTTCCCACCTACCTCTGCTCAGCTCCGAAGGCTTCAGCTCCAGGAGCTCCTCGGCCGTCTGGAAGCCTGCGCTCACCAGTTTCACTCGCACGCCAGGGGCCAGCGGGTAACTCCCCAAATCCCGCTGCATGGCAGCCCCAGGACACCCCACACCACGGTCAGGACCAGCATCCGGGATTCGGCCCCGGCGCCTAAACCAAGAGCCACGCCCCCTCGCGTGACGTCAGAAGTCGACGTCCACCAACTGGGAGCGAGGCCATGCAGCCCCGCCCTTCGAGGGCGAGAACTTCGAGGCTCCCAGCTCTGGGCAGCGTCGTAGCATCCTATTTCTTCGCTCTCGGCCACTCCGCCTTCCAATTGCTAAAGCGAGAAAAGGGCAACTAGGTGGCGCAGTGGATAGAGCTCTTGGACCTAAGTTCAAATCCAGCTTCAGACACTTGACAACTATTAGCTGTATGACCCTGGACAAGTCACTTAACCCCGAGTGCCTCACCAAAAAAGCAAAATAAATAAATAAAACGAGGAAAGGCGGGAATTAGGGAGATGTAGAGTCCGCGATGATGCCAGCGGCGAGCAGCTTTAGGACCACTAGGTGGCAGTGGAGGGGGACTCATTTTTTTCTTCCACATACACCTCCAAACAGTCGGTGGGGTGGCGTTAGCCCGCACAGACCGCACTTTTGGCTGGTCTGGAAACCCTTCCTTCTCCTTCCCTGCCCCAAAAGTCTTCAAAGGGTTCGGAAGACTGAATCTGCCGAGACCTCTGGCCTCATTCCCGATTCGCCTCCCTCGATGCTCCCGACATCCCCTGGGGCCCCTTCACCAACATTCCCCCCCGCCCCCCCCCGCGCTTTCCCGCCCTCGCGAGGGATTGTGGGCCGGGAGTCGCGCCCGCGCCTCGTCCTCGCTCTAGACCTCGTTCTCGTCGCCTCAGCCCCTCCGACCTTCACCCCGCAAATCCTGCCTGCGTGAGATAATGGAGGTTCCCGAGACCGTTAGCTCGCCACTCCGTGCGTAGGGAAAGGAATAACTGGAGGAGAAAGCAAGTAATGAGCAACCCAGAGAGGGAGGGTCCAGGCCAAGGGATGGGTGATGGGACCTCGAGGAGGACCCGGTGAGGGGGCGGGGAGCAGGCCCTTGCCTGGAAAATGGCGGTGGAGTTGAAGGGCGTCCGTAGGCCTCGTAAGCGGGCTGTCAGGAGTCAGTACCTTCCTCGCTTTCTGCAATAATATTGTTAAGTCTGCTAGGCAGGGGAATCTGGCCATTTTAGTTAGATCGTGTTGAGAAATATATTGCTTTGAGGTTTGTACCTCATTCTACAAGTATTCATTTTAATCTCACAACCTTAGGAGTTAGGGGCCATTTATTATCTATATTTTACAAATAAGGAAATTGAGGCAGAGCAAGAGTTAGGGTTAGTGACTTGCCCAGGGTCACACAGCAGGGAGAGTTGGAGGCTGGATTTGAACTTGGGTCTTATTGACTCCAGGTCCAATACTGTATCCACTGCACTACCTAGCTGCAAACAGGTATAGTTCTTTGTTGTTTTCATTCTTAAATTTTAGAGCAAAGATAATCCTTAAAAACTTGGCCAAATTTGACCTTCCTGCCATCTGTCACATAGATTGCATGGTTTCCATTGTGGTCATCCAAGCACATTGTAGTTGCTACAAAAAGTACAAATGGTCTGTAGCAGGCACAAAAATGGTCACTCCCTGTACTGAACTCTCAGGTCTATTGGACAGAAAGGATTTGATGCTGAAAGGATTCTTCTAAATTGGAGGTTCTTAACCTTTTTTGAGTGTCATGAACTCCTTTGGTGATTTTCATGAAGCCTATAGATTTCTTCTAGAGTTAATGTTTTTAAATGCATAAAATAAAATGCCAAGGAAAGAAAGGAAACTAATTATGTTGAAATAGTTACCAGTTTTTTTCTTAAGTTTACAGACCACAGATTAGAATCTGTTATAAATTGATTCTAACCCTTTATTAACAAATTAGGAATTTGAGGCCCATAGAGGTAAACTGACTTATGGGAGCCTTAAGGGTAGTAAGTGATAGACTTAGAATTCAAAAGCCCTAGTCTTCTGACTCCAAATCTAGTGCTTTTCCCATTGTACAGTACTTCCTTTATATAACTGTGTCCTATAAGCAGTCTCACTGGTGTGGTGTTAGGGCAAAAATAACTAGGTTTGTAGTCAGTGGACTGCAATTAGTGTAGTTGTGACCTGCTTGTGTTACCTTGGCCAAGTCACTTCACCTCCCTGGGCTTCAGTTTTATAGTGTATAAAATGAGGGAGTTGGACTCTAAATCTGTGAATTACTGAATATCTATTGAACCTCTACTTTGTTCAAGGCACTGAACACATGGTATTATTTATTCTAATAGAGTAGGCAGTGATAACTTTTAAATTAGTATAATTAAATTTAATAGTGAATAATAAAAGTAATAAAATTATAACTCCCCTATTACTATCCAGAGCTGAGTCTTAGTCACTCAGGCTTGCAACTTGGGTGTCATCCTCATCTCCTCCATCTCTCTCCCATGTCCAATCTGTTGCCAAATCTTGTTGAGTCTACCTAGCAATGGCTCCAGTGTATACTCCCTTCTCTCTTTTGACACTTCTACCACCTCAGTGTAGGCCTTCATTATGTCATGGCTGGACCATTGTAATAACCTTCTGGTTGGCCTCTCAAGTCTCTTTCTCCATTTGGCTGTCAAAGTGGTCTTCCTCAGGCACAGGTCTGACTGTATCAGTTACAGTTACTTCCTGGATTAAATCTAAATTCCTGTTTGGGTTTTAAAGCCCTTCATAACCTACCCCTTCATACCTTTCCAGTCTTCATAAACCTTCCCCTCCATATCCTGGTCTCCTTGATGTTCCTTACTCAAGACTCCATCTTCCAAGTCTGTGCATTTTTACTGGCTGTCCCCATTGCCAGGGATGCTCTCCTACTTTGTCTCTGATTGCTGACTTACTCAAGTCTAAGCTAAAATTCCACCTTCTGCAAGAGATTCCTATGCCCTCTTAATATTAGTTCCTTCCCACTGAAATTATCCTCAGTTATTCTCATTAGGTATTTATTAAGTGCCTACTGTATGCCAGGCACTGTGCTTATTAGTTTGTGGAATACAAAGAAAAGCAAAAGACAGTTCCTGTTCTCAAGGCTAATGGGGAGACAACATGAAAATAACTATGTACAAACAAGATATATATGAAATAAATTAGAGATAATCAATAGAGCATTATCTATCACTAGCATTAAAGATGATCAGAAAAAGTTTCTTATAGGAGATGAAACTTGAAGAAAGAAAGGAAGCCAAGAGGCAGAGATAAAGAGGAAAAGTATTGCAGGCGTGGGGGACAGCCAGTAAAAATGCATGGAGTTGGGAGATTGAGTATCTTGTACTTGTGAAGAACACCAGAGAGGCCAGTGTTGTTGTATTGCAGAATGTGTATGGAGAGTAAAGTGGAAAAAGACTAGAAAGGTAGGAGAGAGTCAAATTGTGAAGGGCTTTGAATACCAAACAAAGAATTTTATATTTGATCCCAGAAGTGATAGTTGTTGTTGAGGTTTAGAGTTGAGAGAGCTGGTTCAGATGTGAAAGAATTCACTTAGAGTTTCTTGTAACCATTGGGAGCTTTATTGATGCAAAACCATTGGGCTAGCCCTGGAAAGAGGACCAGCAACTTACAGAGGGATAGGGGTCTGTTTTATCTTACAAGATAAGGGGAGGGATTGTCATGACACAGGATGAGGAAGATGGATGACAGGATAGGGTATCCAGGATAAGGAAAACAGGGGAAATGTTATGACTCAGGAGGAGGGAGACAAGGAATTTTTATGGTCTAGAATAGGGGAGAGGTTTTATGGTATCTCAAGATAAGGGAAAGAAACTCTAAGACACCATCAGGTTCAGGAGGGGCCTCACAAAATACTGGGAAAACAACCCTTAATTTTTTTAAAGCTTTTAGGGCACTGTTTGCTTTTACATCAGAGTCACTGAAGTTTATTGAATAGGAAGTGACATGGTCTTACCTGCATTTTAGTAAGACTAATTTGACAGCTGAGTAAAGGATGGACTAAAGAGAGGAGAGACTTGAATCAGGGAAACCAACCAGCAGGCTATTGCAGTAGGTCAAGTGCAAGGTGATTGAGGGCCAGTATCAGGGTGGTAGTGATTTCAGAGGAGAGAAGGGGGAGGACAAGAGATAGTTGTTACAGAGGTAAAATCGACAGGTCTTGGTAACAGATTGAATATGGGGGATGAGAGAGAATGAGAAATTGAGGATGACATCTGGGCCTGGATGACTGGGAGGATGGTGGCGCCTTCAGCAATTAAAAGGAAATTCAGAAGAGGAGGAGGATTTTGGGGGAAAGGATACATTTAATATTTCTGATTTTCTTCATTTGGTTGTGAGGTTTTTATACCCTTATTAAATGGCCAGGTTTGGTTGTTTGGGTTTTTTTTTTTTTCTAGACAGAGACAAGGTTTATTAAAGATCTGCTATATTAGCCAGACTCTAAGAAAGGAATCTGAGCACCTGTGAGCTATTGACTAGATTGTAAAAAATCTGAGCACTGGCTAAATTTTAAGAATCTGAGCACCTTAATGGAGACAAAATTGTCCTTATATACAGAAAGACTGTGGGACAGATCTAGGAGTGGTGGGCCAAGTAGTCTTCCAGGACTGTGAGGTAATAGAATGCCAGGCCCCTGGACCACAGTGGCTATGGGAGAATGGAGCCTAGCTAGGATTAAGGGTGGGAAGTGGCCTGGGGCCATTGGGAAGTGAGACAGTGGAGGGCTAGGCCTGGTTAAGGGTAACAGAGAATTGGGAGATTGGGTTTAGCCACCGTGAAAGGCCAGTTGATGGGATTATGGCCTCAGGCAAACACCAGAGATTTGGCCATGTGGGAAAGTCCAGGGTTTTTCCTTTCTGGGGTCCAGATCCGAACCCCATCTTTCCCCCTCAAACAAATGGGATCCAAATTCTTTTGGAGTAAGGGGCCAAGGTCTTGGCTTCTGAAACTGCTTCCTGCTGGCAAGGGGCTGACTCGAGGGGGTCCCAAAGAGGAGATTGACTGGAACCAAGCACAGGCTGCATCCAGGGAATGATGGGGGGACATTGGCTGGTACCCGCTGTTTGCTACCAACTGTAGGTGAATGGCCTGTAGTCTGGA